GTCATTCACTTAAATAAGTAAAGAAATATACAGACATTAAGACTAGAACCTCTAAAAAATTCTAGTTTACAATCAGCAGTAATATCTAGCAGTGTACTCAGTATAAAACTAAGTAGAAAAAATCTAAAATATTAGCAAATATATCTGGGTACCTTCCTTTGGGGTGAAACTACATTTCCATAGTCTTCAGACTATAGCTGAGGGCTAGATTGTAAGTGGTTAATAGTTTTCAATAACATTACCCTCTCTTTATAGTAGATCTTACATATTGTGCAGCTAATTATTTCTGACTCTTGGGACAAGAATGAGCAAAGCCACTTGGTTCTGGTGATATTTGCTGCCATCCCACAAAAGAAAAATTGTCATTGGAATTTACAAACTAATAAAGCATATTGTTTCCCCAGTCTCAGTGTTTTCCCAGGTCCACAGTGGTACTTAACCACAACACAGCCTGCCTGGGCCAATGAGCAGGATATAATCATTCCAATAGATATGCTGTATAGAACATACCAGATCTTAAGTAAAGTGCCAAAATCCCATTGCAGTTAACTCACCTCTGCCTGTGAATTTTTCAGTATACTCATAATTAGCTTCATCATCCTCCTCATCATCATCGTCACCCTCTTCCTCACTGTGAATCCTGTCACAGTCTTCTTCCTGGGCCTCAGCCTGATTCTCCTCCTCTTCATTTGGTGGTACATAAAACCAAATGACTTCCTTCCCTTCCTCCATTGCCATAGATTCTTCCACTTCTGCTTCCAAAGCCACAGGGATCATCTCTTCAGGGACTAAGGACACATATTCTTCAGGCACCAAGCCTTCATCATCGACAAGCAGATATGGGCTCATTTGTCTATCCACTCCAACCCCATCTGTTGGAGATGGGCTTTGCTTTTGGAAATAAAACATGGTACGGCACACACCTGTCAAAAAATATGGTTGAGCTATAGCTATTTACCAAAGGGGGACACAGTTGGTCAAGAAGCCTTCTGGGAAGTGGTGAGGACAACTGCTACTTTATTTACCCAGAGACCTCAGATGAGCATGAAGGATTCACATTGGCAGTTGGCATGGGTGGACTCTGGAGGAGTCATAAAACACAATTCTAGTTTTCTAATGTGCTTTAAAGTCATTTGCTAAGAGGTAATGATTGACATGTTTTGTGTCCAATGAATGGCGTAGGTCCTTAGCAAGTGAATTATCTTGATACTTAACTTTAGCCTTGACACTTGGACCTTAGCAAATGAATTATCCGATGCCTGTCTCTTGATTCTTTAGGTTTCTGGGCTAACTTTAGATTCACTGATGCCCTGTCTATCTGATAAATTCCACTGCCAGAAAGAGTAAAATGTTATAATAAGCTGGTACTTCGAGGCATGGAACACTATGTTGTTTACCTGATTTCAACCTAGGGAGCACACATGTCAATAGGGACAGAGGCATTAAAAATAGTACAGAAAGCAGATCTTAGCAGTTTTGTAAACCTTTCAGAAAGAAAGAGATGAAGACTGGATATTTTAGTGCTAGTAAGCATATTTATTTTAAAATCATGTAAAGTTGAAATACATGAATTTAGAATAGGTTGAAGAAAAGTTAAACAAAAAAAGCAAAGCTGGAAGTTGTGGAGCATTCAAGCCTTTAATTCCAGTACTTGGGAGTCAGAGGTAGATGGATGTATGCAAGCCAGATTTGAAATAAGGAAAGAAAGAAAGAAAGAAAGAAAGAAAGAAAGAAAGAAAGAAAGAAAGAAAGAAAGAAAGAAAGAGAAACTATTCTATCATCACAAGTAACAATAAAAATCAATGAATAAACAAACAGAAGTAGAAGATATTTAATGAGTACTTTTCAAATTACATAAAACCTCCAAAGGGTGCATAGGAATAATACTTTGAAAAGCAACTATGCTACTATCAATAACTTCACCTCAGTTTATTCCTTTTTCTGTCTCATTGTGAGAAATTGTCCTTTACTCTGCATTGCAGAAATGCTTGATTTCTAGTTAGCAACAAACTCTAATTTGGATTCTATCATCATCTGGTCACTATAAAACTCCAGACTGCCCAACTCAAGGCATCTGGAAAATGCTGGTTTTCTCCATGTTGCTCCTATACTGACTGATTAATGTACAACAATTGAGTACTTCCCTAAGATCTTGGAAAAGGAGGAATTGAGACTAATTTTCTCCCCATTTTATGTCTCTACTATCTTCATTAAAGCTATTTTCTTTTCTCAACACTTGTCCCTTGGTCACTTGTCCTGGTGACATGCTTCTGAAAAGAAATTTGGTAACAGATAGTTTCTCAGTAAACAAAATAAGACTCTGATTCATCATTTAGCCCCTCCTAAGCTATAACCTTGATTTAAAATATTTCTTAAAATTATAGAGACATCAGAGGTTATGTCAAAGGTTTTCTAAAAAAGAACAATGTTTTGTGTATCAGATTAATTTTAGAAAAATATTCTACCATTACAAACAACTTCAGAAATATCTGAGTTCAGAAAAAAATATCAACAGATCTCACTCACAACTCTAAACAAATTGCAGTGCTTTTAAATTTTGCCTCTGGTCCCACCTTGACATGGGAGCACAGTGGTCCTCATTCTTTGGTTTAAATGTGGAAGGGAATGTAGAAAACTTCTAACTCAACAACAAAACTGGGTCACAATCATATCACTCTGAGTTGGTTTTATCCTGAGCTCTCCTATGTGACTTTTGGTGTGTTGTTTGTCATTCCCATAGTTTTATAATTTACAAAACTAATTAATTGATTCCCTCGTTGTTTCATGAGACTGCTTTGAGAATAATTTAAAGTAGCAGGCACAAAAGCACATTTTGCTTTGTGGTGTGCTACACATGTATAAATCAACAGGTGAAGTATCCCTTATTTATCCTAGATGGTAAAAATTTATTTGGTTTTTTAGTTCTTTTGGATTTTGATACCTTGGCAATGGGACTTAAGTGTAGAACTGAAATTTCCTTACTACTATATGCTCTTTATATGCATTTCCTGTACATAATCATCAGCAATATTTTTGTACACCTGCATTTTGACATTGACCTTTTATATAAACACAATTATAAAATATGTGCTGGTGGTATTATGTTGGCTTTTTATTTTGAATAATATCAGATTTTGGATTTTAGGTATATTAAAGCTCTAATGCTTTTGTCTCAATCGTGTATTTGTGTGAGGCCACCAATTATTAGTTTCTTAGGCCTGCAGAGTAAAATCTCTAAATTGGTTTTGGAGGAATCCATTTTTCCATATAGAATATTTGTTAGAGAAACTATTGCTCCTTTTCTATGCAGCTTCTGGGAGACTATGGAAGTTCCTCTCTGGAAGAAAGCTTTTCACTAGACATTTGACTGCATACTACTGTAGAGAAGCAGTACAATGGCTTGGGGACTTTGATTTTTTCTAGAGAGCAGTGTGAGCCCCAGGTTGTAGGAAGGACATGGAGTCCGGAAGAGAGACACGTAAGGGAAAATGGGTCTTGAAATCTGGATGGAAACTATCTCACAGAGACTTTGTATCTCCCTAGGCATACAGATTCAATGCCACAATAAATGGAACCTTCAGGAAGAGAAGTGTTAGTCTTGTCATAACTTCTAAACCTGGAACAGAAATTAAAGAATCAGAAGGCAGAGGACACTTATAGCTAGAGGCATGAAAGTGGATACTATCATTGACAACAAGATGAAACATCACATAGAAAAAGAGAATTCTAGACCTACATCATCCTTCAAAGAGTAAAGTAGGGTTTCCATTTTGTTTCTGCTTTCCAAAGCTTAAAAAATGTTTGTTTCGAGCAATCCTAATGAAAAACATCCAAAAAGCTATCTGGGGCATGTATTTGGTCTTAGAAAACTTATATTTGTCCTAATTAGGATTTCTATGTATATGATTAAACACTATGACTAAAAGCAAATTGGGAGGAAACAGTTTATTTCATTTTACAGCTTATAGTCCATCTCTGAGGAAAGTCAGGGAAGAAATTCAAGGCAGGAACCCGGAGGCAGGAACCGAAGCAGAGACAATGAAGTAGTGCTACTTAATGATCCCCATAGTCTGCTTTCTTACGCAATCCAGGAGCACTAGCCCAGGGGTGGTACTGCCAACAGTGAGCTTAATTAATCAATCAAGAAAATGCCCTACAGAGGCCAATCTGCTAGAGGCATTCTATCAGTCAAGTGTCCCTCTTTCCACTTATGGCTAGATTTGTGTCAAGGTGACAAAAACCAACCAGCACAGCATTGTACAAGTGTCCCATAGAACAACCTGGTTGCCTTGGTTGTTAGTGTATTCATGTTTAACTTGTGAGGAATGAGACAGCAAAAGCAATCCTCCACCTCTCAGGATGCTGTTTTGCATATATGTAACTCAAAACATGTGAAGCCTTTTTACAAAAGAGGATATTAAGTCTCTGCTTTGGTCTGAGTGCTTTGTTCCCCTCAGATCTAAAGTTTAAATCCTATATCCTGGAGCTTCAAGAAAAATGCTTAGTGCACAAGTGTAAAGACCTGACTTTAAGTCATAGAAGCAATGTAAAAAAGCTGGGTAATGGGGTGTGTGTGTGTTTGTAATCCCAGTGCAGGGCTCATGGGGGCAGAGACAGACGGATTCCCTCAGGACTCACTAGCCAGTCAGGATGTTCTAATAATGAGATCCAGGCCAATGGGAGACCTTGTCTCCAAAAAACAAGGTGGATGGAAGGAGCCTGTGGAACTACACCCAAGATTATCTTCTTGTCTTAAAAAGACACATGCACATGCACTGTCACATGAACACAAACATGTACACAAAAACAAACAAAAGAAACCCTACTACTTGAGATAATCATATTAAGAGATGGCCCCCTGAGGATGGGATGAGGTTATGGTAGCATAGCCCTAATGGATGGGATTAGTCCCCTCCAAAAGGATGCCTTAAGGTATTCATTTATCACTTCTGTTATGAAGGCATAGGGAGAAGATGCTATCTATGAACCTGAATGCATTTGTCATATGACATACTGATGGTTAGTCTTAGATGTCAACTTTACCACATGTAGTATCACCTGGGGAAGGCTGTGGGCATGTCTGTGGGGGATTGTCTGGATTGACTTAAATGATGTCATAAAACCCAGTCCACTGTGAGCAGTGCCATTATGAGTTTGCGTCCCACCCTGTATAATAGTGGAAAAGGGAAGCTGAGCAATAAGCAAACGTGTGTTCATTCTTGAGGCTCTTTACTGTGGGTGTAATTAGCTTCTTCAGGCTCCTCCCTTGATGTCCCAGTAGTGATTGACTGTGACTTGGAGTTGTAAACTGAGCAAACCCTTTCTCCCTTAAAATTGATTTTGTCAGGATATTGTTTTTCATATTAACAAGAAACAAAATTGGGGCAGATATTGAATCTTTCAGCACTGGGAACTTGGCTTTCTCAGCCTTTAGGATGTTGAGAAAAAAATTTCTATTGTTTAAAAAAACTCAGTTTACAGTAAATTGCTGTGAATGCTGGATGAACCAAGGTAGTGCTTTCATTTATCTCTGGATACTACTCATTCCTGCTCTGTGTATTGATTGTCATGTTGAGAAATGAAGTACAATTAACACATTTTATGGAAATATGAGTGGATATAGGAATAAAAGTAGAACTTTGTGAAGTGGGGCTTAGAGTTAGACTATTGTCCACTGTTCTCAGGAGGGACTAGACAAAGTTAGTGCTTGGGGTCTCCTTAAATTGGTTATTTTTTAGTTTGTTGTTTTTGTTTCCTGTTGTTGTTTGAGACTGAATCTGATTATGTAACCCAGACTGACTTAGAATTCATAGTTTGATCTCTCTGCCTCTATTTCCCTAGTGTACATATATATATGTGTGTGTGTGTGTGTGTGTGTGTGTGTGTGTGTGTGTGTCCCACATGGTTTCCTTAAGTTAA